TTTTTTTTGGCCCGACTTGATGATATTTCGCGACATTTGAAACCATGTACTTAAATAATCTGAGTCCCATTTTGTCACAAGACTCACAATGGAATACTTTTTGGAGTTGGCTTGTTTAGTTTGAGAATAAGAGTTTTGGGTTTTATTTATATTTTCTAGGTTATGCATTGTGTTTGTGACTGCATTATTGTTGTTGTGCCGCCCATGTGGAGCAAGTTATTGGCCTATAAAGACTTCCTTGTTAGTGGCATTTTTAGAATGGATGTGTACTGTGTTTGAGTTGCGATGCTTGAAATACAATAATCTTTGTAAGTAGAAAAAAAATGATATCTCAAGCCAAAAGTGAAGGTTGCTACTTCAGACCCAACAGGCCCGAAGGCAAGTACCGCAAATATATCTTATGATATTGTCCAGAAAATGACATTGTCATATATCCAATATCATTGCAATGCCAACACTAATGATTTTGGTCTGTCATCCTTGTTAAACTAGGTAAACGTATATTATGAGAATGCATTTAACCTTTTTCTTTGTAGCATATAGAAGAAATGGAGGCGCGTCTCTCAGTGGTGATGGGGATTTTGACTGAGAAGCTGGAGTTCGGAGATTTTATCACGACAGAAAAAGCTATGAAGAAATGTTACATTTTGAAAATTTGAAAAAAAATCAATGGTAAAGTAGTCTTTTCTATTTTTCTATTACTGGTTCTTAACTATTGTTCATTATCATAAAACTTAAGGGTCTTTAAGTTATTTTTTCAAATAGTAGAGTTAAGATTTTATCCATTTGTTAAACCATAGGGCACTTTAAGTATTTAACACTTTTAATTATTGATTCATTGACTACATGAATGCCTTTCTTCATTGTAAAATATTTTTAATTATTGATTTATTCACTCACATGAATGTCTCTTTTTGTTTTAAAAATAGAAATTATCCACTAATTTCTCAAGAAAAACAAACAAATCATAACTTTATATTCATAAAAAGAAGCTTCTACAATTTCATTCGAATATTGAATCCGACTAGAAATCTTCAAGAACATATTGAAACAATTGAGAGGGCTTTAATGTCATGTTTAAAAAACTAATTAAATCATAAATAGGTAGTTTGAGAATTTAAATATTTTAACAGTTGAATGACAATATTTTACAAGTTAACGGACAAAACTTTAATGGAGGGAGGTATTTGTCGTAAAGTAAAAATTGAGGAGAGTTTTTGTCGCAAATGAAAATTCAGAGGGCTATTTGTCACTGACCCCATTGGTATAGGGGCCTTTATAATTTACCCTTTTATTTTCCATCCCATTCCCACATGGCCAAATCCTCGAAATTGATATTTCCCATTTCCCCTTCCCCCTTTACCTTTTCCTTTTGTTTTTGAAAGAAACCCTAGCCTCGAGTTCCTTCTCCAATCTCTCCCATCTCTCTCAATCTATCGTGGTCGTAGAATACCAAACGCTGTTCTTCCCAATCTCTCTCATTCCTCTATCAGTCTCGTGGTCGTGGAACACCGAACGGCCAACAGTGAACACAGGCGAAGAAGAACACGCTCCGCCGGCGCCGTCTGCCTCCTGGAAGTGGAACAGGAACACCGAACTTAGCCTCTGCTGCCACCGTCCGCCTTTCCAAGATTCGGGCCATATTCCATTCTTCCTCTGTTGCTTACTCTCTCTAATCTCCATCTTCACTCTCTCCGGTACTTCCATCTGGTCGGCGGTCGCACAAGGAAGAAGGAACGCCTGCCTCTGTCTCTCACTCTGTTTCTGGACTTGGTTGCCGCCTCACCACCGCCGTCGCTCTGTGTATCTCTCAGGTAACAACTAACAACTCCATCTCAATTTAGGGGTTATTATTTTGTGTTCCAACTCAAGGATTATGAAAATTAGTTGATTTTTGTTTCACCATCTTATCTTAAATCCTTTACATCTCCTTCATTTTGCTTTTTCCTACTATGTATATATTTAATTTATCACTCGTTTAACGAATCCCAATTGTCATAAAAAAATCACATTCATTTGAGTTTCTGATCCTTATCTGACTCTTGATATTAGTTGCATTAGATAAGGATAATGATCTTTGACGGCAATTTCATTTGAAAAAGATGTTGGGCTTGAATGACAGAAGCCAATTATTAGGTAGATTTCTCGGTCATCTCTTGGTGCACTGTAGAAAAATAAGATGGAGAACACATCCCATGCACTGTAGAAAATTTCGCCTAATCACCGTTCTTCATTCTCCCTCATCTCTTGGTCCCCCCAAGAGAAAATTCCTGGCTCCGCCACTGTTTGGAAGCCTTTCAACATAACGGGTTCTAGCTTCCATCATTGGGATGTTACGTGGCTTTCTCTGTTTCTGTTAATCCATTGAGAAGATGAGACATTCATCTCAGAGGGAAGTGTTTTCACTGTCTTGCATTGGGGAGTCATGGCTTTGTTCTGTTTTGCAAGGGGGAGATTTTTTTTTTTGAATAAAAATTACAATATACAAAAATCAAAAAACAGAAGAGCGGTTTTTTTTTGGTTTGGATTAATGTATAAACTGGTGGTACTGATTCTGTTAACAGAACCGTAAGCACTCCTAGCCCTAGCAAACCGTCAAAATTGGTGCTGTGAGAATGTGCCCAGGGGTGGACCGATTATAGATTAATGATGATGGAGTCACCACCTAAATTTTTGGAATCAGGAACTTAGGAGGCTCAGGATTTTGCAAGAAAACAAGTTTTCTTGGTGACTCATTGCCCAATGGGGATTAGAGATTCTTTGTATTTGGGGACCAAGGTATGATGTGGGAAGGTATTAGGAACCTCACACTTGCCTGTTAATCTGACCTCTACTATACCAGTGCTCCAAGGATGATTTTTATAATTTTTAGACTGATGAATTACAATTGTCACACACTAATATTAACAAGAGAAAAACAGATTTAATCTAGGTAAGTACTCTTCCTGCCTACTTAATCAAGCCTGTGCTGCAGTTGAATGTTTCTTTGTATTGAGAGAGTTTTACGGTGGTGGTGGAGCTAGCAAAACTTATAGGAATAAATTAAAAACGTTTTCAGATTTCATCTAGAAGGAGAAAAAGATGAAAAGGCATAGCCATTTCAGCTTGGACGACGGAGAGGATAGGGGAAGCACTTGGTGGCTAGGGTTTTGAGGACAAAGAGGAAAATTCTAGAAATTTGTCCGATTGGAAAACAAATTGACCCAAATTGACGAGTTCTCCTTCCAAATCAGTGTAAGTTATTTCTGCTTATTATAAAGAAAAAATGCAACTGCATGCATAGTTTTACTTTTTTCGTGTTTTGTATTTTCTTCTGTATAACCCATGGATTTCATAGGTTTTTAATTGTGTGTATTGTACTCCTGTAGAATGTATGTTTCAGTGATTGACGGGTGGAAAAATGCAGAGTCTTGAACTTCCATTTTTTCTATTAATTAGTTTCCATTTTGTTTTTTTTTTTTTTTTTGGTTAAAGAAACTGCATACGCTATATGTATTACTCATCTTTTCTATTTTAATTCTTTACCAACATAATTGCTCGAATGTAATGATTTATTTAATTGTTTACATATGTCATGTTGGTTGACTTTTTGTTGTCTTATCGGTGGAGATGAGTAATGTGGAGTTATGTAATTGAAAGATGAAAATCATCTACTACTAATGTCTTGTTTGCCAAAGAGATGCATAGTTTTTGCTCTTTTTTTTTGTTTTTATTAGGTATGTAATTGTTGTATTGCTCCTAGAGAAGTTGGGTGGTACTTGTTTGGCTTTTAAAGAAGTTGGCCTATTTGTTTGTTGTTTAGAAAAGAAATTTATGTTTTTATCTTTTACAGGGAGGTGACTGATATGGGACTGTCCTCCCAGCTGACGGCCTAATCTTGAATAACTGAACAATGTCCGAGATATGGAGGCTTGGAAATTACCAACAAGTGCTGTAATTGCAGATGACCCTAGGAAAGAGGTCCTTATTCATTTTCCAGGTAATCCTCTGCTGGAATATGAATTTACAATTTCCAAGGCTCTATTTTTCTGGTATTGCTTTCTGTAAATTGTGTGTGAGAAACCACTGGTGGACTTTTTGTTTCTAATACTGAATATCAGATAATAGGTGGGAAGAACATGGTAGAGAGTGTGGCAGGTTATTGTCAGCTGTAGACGAAAGATGGGCAGGAAAGGGGAACTTTTAGTTAATCTTGTAGAAAACTTTATGAATGATCAGTTAGCGGTAGACCTTGGTTCAGTAGCTCTGTGAGCAGAATTGATGATTGGGTGTGGAAGGGGGATCTGGAAAGGAACCACCACGCCCTAATTTTTATTTTGAAAAAGGTAAGGTAAATTTATTAACTGAAATAGAGCATACAAATAAGCCCCATAAAAGGAGCAAAAAAACTGAGAACAATCTCCCAGCTTACATTACAATTCAAATACACTTCTGGATCTCAACTGAGCTCCAAATACCCTAGGTTGGATTTGAAGCCTTTCACACCTGCAGTTCATGACACTAATTTTCCCACAGCACAGGAGATGAGACAGTCTACATCCTTCGCTTTGTTTTGAAAGATTCTTTTGTTTTTCTCCATCCAGATGGAACTGATGGGTAACTGCAGGTGAGGCATTTTGCATCATGATGTAGGAGGGTTTCAATTCTGAGCATGGTAAGTTCAATTCCAATGCTGTAGGTCCTAGGGAGGAGGATGGTACTGAGCTGACCGCTTCATCCCCAGCTGAAAGGAACAGAAGCAAAATAAACTGGTTAACTGAAATGCAAAATAATCTATTTGCTTTAGTTTATGTGTTTTCTGTTTGGAGAGGTGGAACCTCATGCCTCTTTAAGGCAGTGTTTTAAAAGTGCAAGGTGCAAAAAAAGTGTAGCGGTCAATTTGCGCCAGAGGGGCAAGGTGCAAGGCGAGACATGCGCCTTTTTGAAGCAAGGCGCAAAAATAAAAAAGTCAGAAAATTCAAAAAAATGCCAAAAAATTAAAAAAATGCAAAAAATATTAAACATAATATTAATAAAAAATATAAACTTAAATTTTAAAATAAATGTTATAAAATAACCTATCATCTAAAATTAAAATACATAAACATAACACATAAAGCATATTCAAATGAGAACTTAAAAATAAAATCAAACATATAAAACCCATAATCTCTTTTTTTCCTCAATTGCATTACTTCAAGTAGCTAATGTGATGTAAAACATATTACATTCCTGATTCTACAAACTGCCTTTGTGCCATGCCCCTTGAGGCATATCTATAGATTCTATACTACTTTAAAAAGCACGAATGGCCTCAAGAATATTTCTAGAATTTTCTAAGGACAAAATTTACCCCTCTATATTTAAATTTATTGATAAAAAAATGAGGGCAAATAGGGTAGTTGGTTCTTGATATTAAATGAGTTGAAAAGAGGTAATTTAAAGATATTCAATTCATTCAATTCTCTCTTATTAAATCCAACATTTAAGTTATTAACTTGCATTCATGTTCGTTGAATCATATATTTAAGTCATTTTTGTTTCTTCTCATCATTAAGTTCTATTAATTAAATCCATACTTAATAAATTAATAATTCCAATAACATAAAAGCTTATACTTTTAAAACCTACTTAGCAAAATTAGTGTTTGCATCTAGGTGGTGGTAAGAAATTAAATCATTTTGGGTCAAATGGGTTAATCCATGTTGCCACGACTAAATAATAAAATTAAAAAATAGATAAAATGAAAAAAATAGAAATTAAAAAATTGGGAACATTTTTAACATACATATTAAACAATAATAAGTATG